TTTAGTTCCCAAATGATAGTGTTAGGATCTCTCTATCCATCTCTTGGCTTTGCCTTGCACAAGCTGCCTCTCACTGCAAGGTAGCTCAGCAGAAAGGAGAAAATGCTTCATTTCCAGTAATTTTAGCAAAAGCTTCAAAATTGGCCTTTATATGCTAACTTTAGTTATATGCCCACTCTGAAACCAATTATGGTGAATGGAGGATATGAGGGTGGTGCTGGATAGAAAATGCTGATTGGGCAGCCATAAGACATAAGTCTATTCCTGGAGCCAGAATGCAGATTAGCCTCACTTGTATAGCATCTACTAAGAGTCGGGGAGAAATGATTCCTGATTTTAAAAAGGATTAGAATGAGGTTACCAGGTCAGGAAGCTAGACACCAAAAACAAATGATGTCTACTTGTCATCTTATTGTAAAGTAGGGTTGCACCCCAGGATCTCATCCTGAAGAGTTATTTCTAGATAGTAAGAGGTGTATACCATGCACAACAAGATCCACTGTCCTGGAAACATGAGCAGGATCCAAGAAACTTGATTCTCCTAAAACAGTGAATACATCCCACTATGTCCCTAGTGCCAAGAAGAATGCCTGTACCTAATAGGCCCACATGAAGCCTTTGTTGAATGAGTAATTTAAAACCTGGCAGAATGGATACAGAGTTTCAGTTTGGGTTTATGAAAAAGTTCTGGATATGAATAATGGTGATTGTTGCACAACATTGTGAATGGATGTAGTGGCACTTGAACTGTGCTCTTAAAAATTATTAAAATGGTAAACTCTTATATATATTTTGCCACACTAATTTTTTTTTAAAGAAGAATGGGAAAACCTTAGGCATTAAGGAAAACAAGATTTTGGTGACTTCTGAAGTTTTGCTTTCCATTTAAGCTTCCCTTAGTGAGTCATTGGACCTCAACGGCTGGGCAATCACTGATGAGAGCAGAAAGAAGTACTTGTCCACTTGTAGACAAAGTAGCACTTGTACTAATTTGTACAAAGTACAAAGTAGAACAAAGAAGTACTTGTCCAGCACTTGTCCACTGAAGTTGTGCACAAACATTGGCTGTCCCCTACTTTACAAAAGAAGATCAAGGGATAAAATAAGGTTGGGATTGATGGACGTCAGGAGGATTTGCCTTAGGAATGCATGTGATATATGAAAAGGGTTCAACCAGAATTCACAAACTCTGTTGTCTTCTATGGCCAGCCAGGCAGGTAAGAATGTAAATGAATAAGATAATGTGAGTCAGGTGGAGATCCACATGCTTCCTTTAAACAGGCCAGTCACTGCTCATCTCAGACCAGTTATTGCCTTGAAGAAATACAGGTTCAGTAGTGCCTGGTCTCATGGTTTCTCATGAGAAGCCATATGTGTGAAATCTTATGTGAAATTTTTCCATTTTTGAATGTTAGCAATCACTTTTTTTTTTTTTCCTGAGACAAGAGTCTTGCTCTGTGGCCCAGACTGGAGTGCAGTGGTGCAATCTCAGCTCACTGCAAGCTCTGCCTCCCAAGTTCAAGCGATTCTCCTGCCTCAGCTTCCCAAATAGCTGGGATTACAGGCGCGCTCCACCACGCCCAGCTAATTTTTGTATTTTTAGTAGAGACCGGGTTTCACCATGTTGGCCAGGCTGGTCTAGAACTCCTGACCTCATGATTCACGCACCTCAGCCTCCCAAAGTGCTAGGATTATAGGCGTGAGCCTCCGCGCCTGGCCAGCAATCACTTTTTAAATGTTCTACAGTAGCATGGTAAACAGAACACAGCTATTTTCCAGATCTTACCACTTATTTCCAGTTTCTTTCCAAGGATAGACTGTTCACTTTTTAACAAATGACAGTAATGATCTCATGTATTTTTTTTTTTTCATGTTTTTCAGTTTAAGGTGACACACATGGTTAGGACAGATACCATCACCCCAATTTTACTCTTGAAGCCACTGAGACTTTACGTGGAAGGACTTCAGCTTGCACCCAGATCATGTGAAACAATGTTCTGTACCATGTGACTTCAAGAGGTTGCTTTCAAAACTCCCCCACAGGTTTCCTTATTTATCATTTATCTAGATGAATTCTTCCTCCCTTACACTGGAGAAAACAGAGTTTCTCAATTTCCCATGACTCTTTTTGTTAGTCAGATAGGAGAGAGAAGTCATTACCTATGCGAACCTGTAGAAATAGATTTGTGTATTTATCAGTAATAAATACAATAACCAGGGAATTTAAATCATATTATATTTTCCATCTTGCCAGAGATGGATTTTTTTTTTCCCCTGGGGGAACTTTTAACTTAAGAATGTGTTTCAATCTCCTTGATGTGTTGGAATAATCATTAATGTTTACAGTTGCTGTAGCAACTAGAAATGCTGGCAATTGAGTAGGAAGGGAGCCTGAGAAAGGAAGATAAGCTGTGTCAATTATTGAACATCTGTCAAACAGTTTGCCAATTTAAAGTGACAGACAAAAAGCTAGAAATCGAAGGTGGGTACAATGTATTTGTTAAGAACATCAGTTTTGTATTGTTTTGCCACTATTACAGAGGGATAATTAACATTTATTTACATCCACATAAAGGGAGCATTTTCTATGGCGAAGATATGGTTGCAAGTGTAAATTTTTATGCTATAATCATCTTAATCCATCTCTCATGGATGTTAGTTTGCAGTTTTGATATCCATTTGACAGCCTTTTGCATTTTGTAGGAGCACAGAAGTGAAACACTATGCCTCTGATCACATGCCTCTCCAGGCATTGTCCTCTCCTTATCCTAAAACCACTACTCACTTATGCAGAGCAGCGGCCTAAATATTGGCCACACATGTCTCCAGTACTCTGTCTTGCTCTCATGGCAGTTATCATAGATCAATTCAAACTCCTTTTTCCTCTGAGTCTCTGGCATTCTCAAAACCCTAACACAGCACCTGGATAGCCAATACCAATTAGGCAGGGCTCTGTAGTGGACTCTATTTGCAGTCACTGTCTGTTAATGATTTCTCACCTTTGCTTGGCGTTTTATTGTTTACAAAGTGTTCTTACATGCATAGTCTCATTTGGTCATCAAGCTCTAAGGTGGGGTTGTTATCCTTTCTTTACATGTGAGAAAACTGAGGTTTAGAGAGATGAAGTGATTTGGCCAAGATCACTGAGTTAGACAGAAGATACCTACTTACCTACTGCCTTTTCCACTGCCTTTTACAATAAAGAAAAAATCAGTAGGTAAAAATCTAGGGTGATAGGTTTTAGTACTGCCCTAATCACTTACTAAGTAAAAAAAAGAAGAAAAAATAATAAAACAAGAAAGTATTGAATCCTTCTTTAGAAAGTTCTCTCTGCTTCTGATAAGTAAGAATTGAACAGATTTTTTCCTAGAATGCTTTCCAGCTATAATCTGTAATACATGAACTCTAAGCAAAATTTAACTGCTAAGTTTCTCAATTACAGCATTTGTTTATTATTACCAGGCCACACTCCACCTCATGGCTGCATTCCCAGTTTCTTCCCAGATCTCAGTTTTTTGAAAGTGAGAGAGCATATTAATTTTATAGTTTTTGCTACTTCTATTTGTTAGCATAATAAGCATACTAACACTATATAAATGATCACAAGATTTAATTTTCTGTCCTGGCTTTGTTTAATGTTAAGTTTTAATGAGTCACTTTTTCTCTCTGTTCCTCATTTTCTTTTCTGGAAAGCAGGATTATTATCTCCAAGAGATGAGTCAAATGAAGTAACATACATGAAAATAATTTTAGGAAAATAAAATACTGTCTATGATAAGATATTAGGGTACCTTTATTCATTATGAATTCTGACCTGGTCTGATAATATTAAGTAGATGATGATTTAAAATAGGTCTTCAGAATGAATTTGAAGGAACATGTAAGTCATCAAATGATTCCATTCACCATCTCTGCCTTATCAACAATAATAATAATAAACATTAACATATATTGAGTGCTAGCATGTGCTCGACACTGTGCTGACTATAATTAGCAATTTGCCTACAGTATTGCATCTGATCCCCCAACCATCCTACGGTGTGTTACTATTATCTCCATTTTTCAGATGAGAAAATTGAGTCTTAGATATGTTAAGTAACTTTCCATGCTCACAAAGTAGTGGTAAACCAAGGTTTCAAGACCATGTATGTCTAACCTCAAGTTCTAGAGTAGCTACTTGACCAGTTATAAATAATACTTGACACACTCAAGATAAAGATATTTATTTTAAAATAGAACAAAGCATGGCCTTGCCTAGATGTTCCATAAAGAGCGGTGATCATCAGATGCCCACTTTTTTCCTTTAATTTTTCTTGAAGCTAACTTTTTTCTTCAAGTCTTTGTTATTGTCTTCAAAGAATTACAAGAGTCATTGGGAAGAATCCACCATTTTTGAGAACCAGCTTTTACCAGGAACTATTTTAAGTGGTAGCAGATGGATAGGAAATTAGTATACAAGTATTTTTCAAGGGGGGCTTAGGAACAATGGTAAGAAGAGGCCATTAGGAAATAGAGGAAGGAAGGTAAAATAAGTCTCTAAGGAGAAAAAGAAATGACAAAGGTTTATATTATATTAAGAAATTTTTCAGATACTTTTGATCGCAGGGAACAAAAAAAAAAAAAGAGCATCCACTAGGGAGTTTTTTATAAAATGAATGTATTGGTTTTTTTTTTTTTTTTTTTTTTGAGATGGAGTCTCACTCTGTCGCCCAGGCTGGAGTGCAATGGTGCAATCTCTGCTCACTGCAACCTCCGCCTCCCGGGTTCAAGCAATTCTCCTGCCTCAGCCTCCCGAGTAGCTGAGACTACAGGTGCCCGCCACCACGCCCAGCTAATTTTTGTATTTTTAGTAGAGATGGAGTTTCACCATATTGGCCAGGCTGGTCTTGAACTCCTGACCTTGTGATCCTTCCACCTCGGCCTCCCAAAGTGCTAGGACTACAGGCATGAGCTGCTGCGCCTGGCCTAATTTATTGATTTTTTTTTTTAAAGCATATTACCTGAATAGAATATTTCTTCTGAGTAAATTTTCTTGAGGAATTCAGCCACCACTTGTACTCACTTTTCTGTCAACTCTGAGTCCTAGTTTCTTCTCCCTGACCAACTTGTCAAAAGTGTATTAGACATGAGCATGGGCCCTTTGTGCTTTCTGTTTTGGAGTCTTAAAACCAGAGGAAAAAAGGCCCGTTTGTTCAGTTTGAATTTTAAAAATCTCTGATTGGCTGATTTAAGTCATGTGATCCTTACTGAACCAATCACTGTGTCCTGTGAGATTAAGTGATATGATTGGTCTCCTGTGACACACTCCCATCTCTATGCTGGCCTTGGAGGAATGATGACTGCCACGCACCAAAAACCAACTGATGAAGCATTGCTAAGATGAAAAGTGCCTTTCTGGAAAACTTGGCAATAAAGCCAAACTCATGGATGATTAATCTTTCATCTGGTCCTCTCCACTGTACCTCAAGCCTGAACCGGACCATTGCAATCAGTGATGGTCTTTTTTGTTTTTAAAGGGCCAGATAAAAGAAGAAAATACCTTTATTTTGAGAAGGATAGTTCCATTCTTTATAGACAAACAGACCAAATGCTTTTGTTATTTGTTTCACAGGAGCATTAGCAAGACGTGGGGAAGCGGGAAAGCATCTTGGGCCATAATGAAAACTAGCATTTTATTTTTCTTTCTTTCTTTCTTTTTTTTTTTTTTTTTTTGAGATGGAGTTTTACTCTTGTTGCCAAGGCTGGAGTGTGGTGGCGCAATCTCGGCTCATTGCAAACCCCGCCTCCCGGACTCAAGTGATTCTCCTGCCTCAGCCTCCCAAGTAGTTGGGATTACAGGCGCCTGCCACTACGTCTGATTAGTTGTTTGTATTTTTAGTAGAGATGGGGTTTTTCCATGTTGGCCAGGCTGGTCTCGATCTCCTGAGCTCAGGTGATCTGCCTGCCTCTGCCTCCCAAAGTACTGGCATTACAAGCATGAGCCACTGCGCCCGGCTGAAAATTGGTATTTTCTTAGCACATTTGATTAAGGGTTAATTTGTGCTCATGATTTAAATGTCAGTTGTCTAAATTTTAGATCACAACTTTAATTAAGGAGAATGTGGACTTGTTTAATAATCTGGTGAAAAGGCTGTGTATTGTTAACTTGTGTAGGAGTTGATTATATTACTTGAAAGCTTGCTCAGTTAGTCATATTACTGCTTGAAGCCTTAAAAAAGGTAAATAATTAGAGTTAAATTGACATTTTCCACCATTCAGCATTTTTTCATTATTCCTGAGAATCCATTTTAGTTCCCATATTGAATCCTCTTTTTTCTTTCTTCACAGAATTTGCTTAGCTTAAAGTAATAAGACAGATTTTTATTATGCTGTGAGAAAAAGCAATATTTCTATTAATTATGATTTGTCCAGTCAAAATTTTCCTAGGAAATATCTTTAAGTGCTGATGCTACAAGTGACACGTACAAGACTGATATCTCAGGATTTAACTGGTCACCTAGTTCCCTGAAATTCTGAGTACTCTTGAATGTCACTATGGGGTTAGATACTGTGGCATACAAAAGAAAACAAGGTTGTCCAGATCCCTACCACAGTCTGCCTCAACCATAGGGCTGGCACATCAGTCAGGGTAATCACTGCTGGACTGCCATGTCATTGACTTAGTTAAGCTGAAGGTTTCTGTTGCAGTGGTTCCTGGCATAGGAAAAGAATTCTTTGTCATGGTCTCAAGAGATGTCTGTTTTAATCCCAAATCTAATTCCACTGATAGTCTGTGTGGTCTTGGAATAGCTTATGTCATTTTCTGTATCTCACTTTTCCTGTCTCTCCCATAGAACTAATCCTTATTCTACTTATTTGTAAAAATTGTCAGAGGCACCGAATGAGATAATGAATATACAAGTGTTTTGAAAATGTAAAGAAGTAGGAAAGTTGTGGTTCTGCTGATGTACTTATAAGATGGAGGCTTACTGAAGGTAAACGAAAATATCTTGCTCACTGGATCCAGTTTAATTTTCCTTGTGCATGGAGATGTCTTATTCAGTCCAGGTGTTCCTGTCACCTTTGAGTAACTGTGATCTGACCAGTGGCCGGGTCACACGGGTGTCATCTGGTAACTCTAGTTTTCATCAACATCTGTCATTTAGTGTAAGTCACATCAGGTGGACTAACTTCACTGCTGCATCCTTTCCTTCCTGCCTTTACTGAGTCCTTGTCTCTCTTGGCTAATCTGTTGTATTTTCTTTCTGCCACTTAGTAAACTCAGCAAAACTGCACCAGAGAGTCAGAAATAAATGGAAAGGGAAGGATTTTTAAGGAAAGGAGCTCACGCATTCCGATTTAAAATACGTATTTTGATAGTCCGAGGATTTTTTGTTGTTATTGTTATTTTTTTCCCTCCTCTGATTTCGGTGAATTTGATTTACCATCAATGGTCTGATGAAAGAAATGTACTTTCTTATTTACAGGCGAATTCTTTCTCAGCTAACACTTTGGGCCTGGAGTTCAGCAATAATACTGTTGCTCCAGGAAACTTCTGGCATTTGGAATTCCACTTCGATTCAACTAACGCTTACTAAGTTGATTTCACAAAAGTAAAGTGTATGTTCTCTGGCCATATGTATTCTTGTCCACAAGCAGTATTCAAGCCTGGAAGATGGAGAAGAGATAAGCAACTGAACTATTCTAATACATAAAAACAAATTTCAATGTGTGAAATAATGTGCTGGTTGCTGTGAGGCAAAAAAGAAACAAACACTTATTTTGTTGTTGAGGAGAGACCACATGTAATTTTCCTGGTCAGGAAATGGCTCTTTGCAAAAGATAGTGGCTGAGATGAGTAAAAGTGGGGAAACATGTCCTGAGAAGAGAGTGCACAAGCCTTGTCAGAGGGACTGAAAAGAACCCAGCACACAAGGGGATCAGTGACTATTTTTCCACTTTACCTTAAGCAACCCTTCTTAGCAGTATAAACCTTTCTTAAAATACAATTTTGTGGGGAAGTGCAAATTTCAAAAACAGAACTCTCTGCTTAAAGCCCAGATGGACGGGCACAACCCTCCCACTGTGTCTTCTCTTTGCATCTAAAAGTGACCCCTGCAGGAATACTATGTACTGTGTGAATCCATTAATCAAAGATGCCCCTCCTTAACCTCTCTAAAGTTTTGCAGCTCCTAGCTTGAGGGATCCTCCCCCAGAGTATACGTTAACAAAGAGTAAAGAGTAGAAAGCTAAAACTAAATAACTTGGGGTCCTGTTATGGAAGGATTTGAATGTGAGCTGGATGCATTTTACTTAATCCAGGAGGCAGTGGGACTCACAGAGGATTTGTGTGGGAAAGAGGGACATGACTCAAAGCTGCCCTTTGGTAGGATTAATCTGGCAGCGTTGTGTGGGTTGGCCTTGAGTGACCCTGAACCTGATATGGACAGAATAGCAGGATGTTCTTAGGCCAGTGACAGATGACGGTTAGACAAAAAACCTCTATGGAATTCAAATCCACAGGACCTGGATGCTGATTTTCTCCCCAGCAATGGGACCTACACTCCTTCCTAGAGAGAACCTGGGATCAACCCACAGGGCTTGTATGAAGCGTGTATAAGTGTGGAGCTGAAAGAGTTGTATCATCTGATTTTTTCTGTTCTCCTGCCACTTGAGAAAAAGCCATATTCTCTCTGAAACTGGGCATGAACTTTGATAGTTGTCTCTTTAGCTTTTATGTGCTTTCTACATTATCTGAAAGTATTTTATACTTGGCTATCAAAGGGTATTCATGCTTCAAGGGATTAACACTTTTAAAATGAACTTTGTGTGTTTGAGCTCTTTGTAAAATATGGTGATACCTTTGATTTCTTAAAATACCAAATTTTTAACAAATAGTTGAAAGAAACATTCTTTATCCCCCATGAACAGTGTTTCCATCTGCCCATCATAGTCCACTGCAGCTGCATCTGTCTGTCATGGCTTTACTGGTTTGATGGTTTGACCACACTGAACAGACTGGGCCATCTATTTTTTGTTTTGTTTTTTTGAGACATAGTCTTGCTTTGTTGGCCAGGCTGGAGTATGGTGGTGCGATTATGACTCACTGCAGCCTTGACCTCCTGGGCTCAAGCGATCCTCCCACCTCAGTCTCTCCAAACTCCTGAGTAGCTGGGATTACAGGTGTGAACCACCATACCCAGCTAACTTTGTATTTTTGTAGAGATGTGGTCTTACTATGTTGCCCAGGCTAGTCTGGGCCATTCTTTATCACAGTCAGACAAGGGTCTAATGTCGGTTCTGTATGGTTTCAGCACCCCACTTTTATCGCATCAAAATACTGAGATTAGTTTATATTTGTTTTCTTCAGTACCATTTTCATACCAACAAAAGTATGCAACTAAGGGTCAATTCCATTTATTCGTCTTTGTGTCTGTATCCTAAAGCAGGGGCCACAGCCTAAATTGCCTACAGATTCATATAGGACTGGAATATGGAGTAGGGAATGGGTAGAGGCTATGGCAAACTGGAGACTGAGTGCCTGTTCCTCTGTGGGAAGCTGCTATTCACCTTTGGCAATCATTTGCCTGACGGAATGAGAGCCTAATGTAGTCAAATCTTTTAAAACAGTGTTTCTCAGAGTATGGACTTCAGGCCAACACCATCAGCAGCACCTAGAAACTTGCAATTCTTATCCTTCCCTGTTCCACCTCCAGAATAAGAAACTCCAAGAGTGAGATCCAGCCTTTTGTGTTATAAGAAGCCTTTCTAGTGATTGTGAAGTGTACTCAAATTTGAGAACAACTTGTTATAGTAGACATTGTGTTGTATAACTCAGATTGCTTTTGTGGACTGATATTTGAGGACTATGTTTGTTTCAAGAAAAGCCCAATATCAAGGCCAGGCGCAGTGGCTCACACCTGTAATCCCAGTACTGTGGGAGGCCATGATGGGGGGATCATTTGAGGTCAGTTGTTCACGACCAGCTTGGCCAACATGGTGAAACCCTGTCTCTACCAAAAAATAGAAAAATTAGCCAGGCATGGTGGTGCACACCTGTAGTCCCAGTTACTCAGGAGGCCGAAGTGGGAGAATCACTTGAACCCAGGTGGTGGAGGCTGCACCCCTGCATTCCAGCCTGAGTGACAGAGTGAGACCCTGTCTCAAAAAAAAAAAAAAAAAAAGAAAAGAAAAAGAAAACAAGGAAAGCCCAGTATCAAGATATGT